CTCGAAAACAGAAGCAACACCAACAGCAACAGCAACAGCAACAGGAGCAACAGCAACAGCAGCAGCAGCAACAGCAACAGCAGCAGCAACAACAACAAAACAGAAAACGACGTCGGTCAAGGCCTCCTCCGCCCTCACCCTTTCCTCACCTCTCCACACTCATCCCGCCCTGTCGCCATCCGACCCGCAGTACCCAACCTCACTCCTCCTCCTCATCCCGCTCCTTTCTCTGCAGCGAAAAGGAAAAGGAACACTTGCAGGAACTTACTAAAGAGGAGACTGAGGACTGGAGGGTGGTTTTGCAGCATCGTTGATTAATCTTGGGTCTTCTCTGGCCATCCCTCCCCATCCCCTCCCTCCCCCCTCGTCCCCTCCCCCCTCTCACCCCTCTCCGCCCATGTCCCCATCATCACCTCCCCCCTTCCCACCCATGAGAATGAGAGGGCGACGACGAGAGACACCGGACACCACTGGAGGCGTCCAGAGGTCTCCCGAAGACCGAAGAAACATCAGAACACGTCTAAGCCAGAGACGACGGCGACGACGACGACGACGAAGACGACGGCGGCGGCGGCAGCGGCGACTGTGGCAACCGCCAGCGGCGGCAACGACCTTCTGTTTGTGCCAATCGCCGTACCTCACTGGCGGCAGGTTCTGTCCGTGGCTGGCGGAAAGGAACGGTCTCAGCGGGCACACGACGGTGTCCTGCGCGCGCATCGTCGTCGTCGTCGCCGTCGTCGTGGTCGTCGTCGTCGTCATCGTCGTCATCATCGTCGTGGGCATCGCCGTCGTCGTCGTCATTATGATGATTATCGTTGCTTTCCGATCATTGCTATGATTTGTACTATTCGTACTACTAATGCCATTATCATCATAATGATTATCCGTATGATTCATCATACTACTACTACTACTACTACTACTACTACTACTACTACTACTACTACTACTACTACTAGTAGTGGTAATAGTAGTTAATAGTAGTAGTAGTAGTACTACTACTACTAGTAGTAGTAGTAGTAGTAGTAATAGTAGTGGTAGTACTACCAATAGTAATAGTAATAATAGTAGTAGTAGTCGTCGTCGAGGGTAGTAGTAGTAGTAGTAGTAGTAGTAGAAGTAGTAGTAGTAGAGTAGTAGTAGTAGTAGTGGTAATAGTGGTAATAGTAGTAATAGCGATAATTCTAGTAGTGGTAGTAGTCGTAGTAGTAGTAGTAGTAGTAGTGGTAGTAGTAGTAGTAGTAATAGTAGTAGTAGTAGCAGTAGTGGTAGTAGTAGTAGCGACACTACTAGTAGTGGTAGTAGTCGTAGTAGTAGTAGTAGTAGTAGTAGTAGTGGTAATAGTGGTAATAGTAGTAATAGCGATAATTCTAGTAGTGGTAGTAGTCGTAGTAGTAGTAGTAGTAGTAGTAGCAGTAGTAGTAGTAGTATTAGCGACACTACTAGTAGTGGTAGTAGTCGTAGTAGTAGTAGTAGTAGTAGTAATAATAATAGTAGTAGTAGTACTAGCAATAGTAGTACGATTACGAGATTAATACGAGTAGTAGTATAACCATCATGAGCATCATCATCACCATCAGTTGCACTTGCTTATTGGTGCGATGTTTCTTCATACTAGTACTCATACTACCATTGCTACTGTGATGGGTAGTATTCGTAGCATTTTGACTCGAAATATGAGCATTAGCATTATTATGACTAGTAGTCGTGTTCGTCTTCTTTTTCATCTAAAAGGTATTGATAGCATTGCTCGCCTTCTTATGATGACTGTTACGTTATATTTTCTACCCTTGTTACTAGTGAACATTATTCTCAGATGTTCCTTATTACTATATGTTTTGTCAACTTCCTGCTCTGGCTCCTGTCCAGGTTCCTGTTGTTCATCCTCCTCCTCCTCCTCCTCGTTCGTCAACTCTTCTGTCGTCTCCAAAAATATCCCTAATCAGGGACGCTGCCGCAGTCGGCGTCGTTGGAAAGACAAGAGGGCTGGGAACGCCAGGAGGAAGGAGGGCGCAGGGAAGAGGAAGAAGGTGGGACCAAGCAGGCAAAGGACGGAGAGAGGAAGGCACAAGGATGGAAGTACAATCAGGGAAGAAGAAAGAGGAGGAGCAGGCCTGACAACCAGTTGCTTTTCTGGACCTCGACGTGCTACTCGCCAGAGCCGGGGGCGCCACGAAACCTTGGCTGGACCGGCAACTGGTAGACTTTAGAGCGACGATGCTGTCGAAGTCATCGGTCGTGTTTTGAAGGGATTGGAGGGGGAGGGGGGGGGAAAGAGGGGCAGAGGGACGGGAGGGGGGGAGGGTGCGGGGTGCGGCCCTGAGCACGGGGCAGAGAGCTAGGGTGTTCTGGCCGCTACTAGGCCGGAGCATTGCCCGCGCCCCTTACACCCCCAGCGGAGGCCAAGACGGCGCCCACCACCCGCGCGGAAGAGGAAGACCAGGGGAGAGATGGATTTCATCTCATAAAGAAAGGGCCCCAAACCTTCCACAAGAAACCCAACCCAGAGACCTCAGGACGTCCGGTAGTTTGTGGCATGGGATCGTCACGCTTCCCATAACAAAACCATCGACACCCAAGAAACCCAGGGCACCCTGAAGGCAAGTAGGGTGTTTCTTGGCATGGGCCTCCACTGTACCATCTGCACACCCGCGAAAAACCAGGTCAAGCCTGGGCACGATTTAACAGGCAGACTCGAGGCAATTTACCACCGCTTTGAGGGGCAGCCCCCCTTCTCAGCCTGGAGAAGACCTCCTTCCCTGCCTTCGCCTTCGAAGGCGGACGGTCAGGCCTTGCAAGGATTAGCACGACTCTGGACATTCACACTCGCACGTGTTCCAAAGTGCTAACAATAGAGCACTCCTCGCAAGACCTTCAATCGTTGATTGCTGGCACATCCTGGGTAAATGGGGCGGGTGAACCGGTCAAAAGAGAGAGGGTCGGGCCACGACAGGGACCTGGGCAAAAGTCCGGGACACGACCCTCCAATCTGAACCTACGCGCACACACCTGACATTTCAAAAAGGGAACTAGCGTGGCAGGGTTCGTGGCCAGCGCTCCGCAACCTATGTTGCCGAACCTGGAAAGGAGGAAAGAAGAGAGGGCGCGGAGGCGGGCGGCCGAGCCTGTCAGCAGCTGTGTGAAGGGATTCCGTTCAACGACCTTTCTGTGCACCGCCAGCCAGCGGCCAAGAGTGTGGGAGGTGAGGCGGTCCACGCACTGGGTCAGGTCAGCCTGCTCAAGAGACGGGGAGCTCCTCTCAGCCGCCCAACCCACACAGAAATCAGCACACCAATTCAGGAAAAACTCCTCCTCCCCGATGGCGAACTGCGCCCCCTGTAGGGCCAACGAATGATTCTTGGTCCAGAGAACTTTGAACTGACCAGGGCCCCCATCATCGAGCGCCGACCAGATACGAACCCACAGATCGAGCATCGTGCTGCCAGCAACTATCTGAGCACGTGGCCGCCTCAGCCCTCTAACTCATAGGATGCAATTAGAATAGCATACAATGACACCAGCACGATAGAGGACAACCATAAGAAAAGCATGCAAAACAGCACGTGGACTCGACTGCTAAACCGTAGGTACGCTACCATACATGAAAGCATCCCGCTGCCTGGAAAGCAAGTCAGGAACACCCACAACTCCAAGGCCGTTTATCCTTGTCAACCTTTCCACCAGAACCGTCAAAGCCCCGCCTGCGCCCGCCGACCCGACGTTGGCCCCGCAAGGTTCCCCACGTCCAGACGTGCGCTTGAGGAGGGGGCAGGTGACCACAAGTGGCTTCCAAACCAGGGACCCTGCGGGTGAAGAAGGCGCTGTCAGGATCAGCAGCAAGGGCATTTGGAACAAGACACTCACTATTAGCAAGACACGCGTCTGGCAGACAACGGTTAGATGTGCACCCCCAGCAACGACGGGGCGGCGTCTCACGCTGATCACCACATCGGAAGCATTTGGCTGAAATGAAGTATCCTGCATCCTGCAACCTGCTTTTAGGCCAACATGATCCAGAAACAATAGTAGTGGGTAGAGCGGCGCCCTTGTAGTCGCCGTCATTTATCAGATTATTGCACTTAGCCCTAAAGAATGTAAGGCCAGCGCCTGACGCAGGGCCTTGACCACCGAAGTGCTGGCTGGCGCTGGTCCAAATGAAGGCCGAACAACAAGCACGTTCTTGAACGGTGACAGGGCACCGAAAATCAACGTCGTCCATTCAAAAATGCATGCGCACTGCCTTCGACAAGCCGTGCATCAACACGACGAGGCTGCCAGCCATGATCTCACACGGCAGCACACAACGCTGCAATAGGACCACGACTGGGGCGCCAACGCTCAGAGGGTGAACCACCGCCGCGCGGGGGCGCGCCGAAGCCCATGACGACCACACGGCCAAAGGAGGAGGAGGAGGAGGAAGGAGGAGGAGGAGGAGGAGGAGGAGGGGGAGGGGGAGGGGGAGCAAGAGGAGGAGGAGGAGGAGGAGGAGGAGGAGGAGGAGGAGGAGGAGGAGGAGGAGGAGGAGGAGGAGGACGCCACCGTGGGGAATTCATCAGCCTGTCACTGCTGAGAAACACCCGGCCTCCGGGCGAGAGCGGGGCTCCCCACGGCGGCGTGCCACGGAGACCCCCCCCTCCCATCGACGGCGCCCACGTGTGTCCCGGCCACGCCGTGGCCAGAGCGCCGCTCGCACTCCGGCGAGTTCGGGCCTGCGCCCCGCGCGGCGCAGGGGGGGCGGGGGCGGAGGCGGCACGGCCGGCGGCCCAGAAAGCACGGGCACGGAGGTGGCTCCCCAGAGCTCGGGCGAGGCAGGGCGAGGGGCGCACCGAGGAGGAAGGGGGAAGGGGGCCAGGCAGGGGAGGGAGAAGCAAGAGGGGAGGGGAGGAGGGAGAGGGAGCAGAGACGACCAGGGGAGGGGGGCGGGGCAGGCCCTCCCCCCCCGTCCCCCCTCCTCCTCCTGCTGCCGCTGCTGCTCACCCTTTCCTCGCGATCCCCCCCCTCCTCCCCTGATCGTCCCTCCTCCTCTTCCTGGCTTGCTATGTTCTGTCGCGGTGAAACTAGAAGCCCCGTGAAAGGGACCGCCACAGTTCTGACCATGCCATCTGCAGAAGTGAAGAATGCATTGAATCGGGATCGAAGCGCTCAGTGCAATATGTAAACAGCACCAGCCACGGCATGAAAGAGGAAGCAGACGGCGAGGAGGGAGCAACGAGGAAGAGAGCAGCAACGAGGAGGCAGGAAAGCGAGCGAGAGAGGAGGCAGTAAAAAACAAAGGGACCACGGAGGAAACGAGCGGCAGGCAGCAGCACTGCAGAAAGGAACGGAAGACAAGGACCTGAAACAATCAAGCCTCAGCGAATGCCTGTTCAGAACATCGCCAGTGGGCTATGCCTTGAGCGCGCCTCACTCATCTAACGCTGTAGTTTGGGCTCACGCACTCGACCGCGCAATACTCGGTGTCAATTGCGAATCTCATCGCCAAGCCTTGAGCCTGGTCGGGTGGACCCCGCAATAATTGCTGTCACGTCGTGCATGCCAGTAGCCAGTACCTCCACCAGGCAAGACACCACGTACGTAGGGCAACGCAGCAGATGCCACTCACGAATGCTCCAGCAGCCGTTGCCCACGATAATACATTCGTATCCAGGAAGATCCGACATCATCGTCATCAGCCGATGACGTTTGCCGCATTAGCTACGTTGCAT